GATCGAGTCGGTACTAAGAGGGGGGTGAATTAGTGCAGATAAAAATCACATCGAGTCAAAAATCTTCTTCATATGATGAAAATCGATCTCGAAAGATGTTAACGTGAAAGCGTATGAGCGTGTAGTGAGAGTAAGAAATTAGTTTGTAATGTAAAGTATATTACAACAAAGGTAAATAGCAAAACAGAAATACAAACCGATTTATAGTGGTTCGATCGTCGTGACCAACATCCACTCCCGATTCCTCTTATGTCGATGCCATCGGCTTCTACTACTGATCTTCTTTCAATGGACGAAGATCAACTATCCTTTTACACCCCTCTTCTCCTTTTCACAGGTTTAGGAGAGAACTTTTTACAATCACTCACTCCTCCCTAAATAGAATTCTAAACTTAGAACTAGAGGAGGGATTCTCTCAAGTGATTGCTATAGCATTTTCTCATTTTTAAGCTTTTTGTGCTTGTGTTTATTAACTAGGGATGAGAGGGGTATTTATAGGCCTCAAGTGGATTCAAACTTGGAGCCTAAAAGTGTCTCATCCCTAGTTTTCGAGGTACTAGCGCTACCATCGCTTGTGCTAGGCGGTACCACCGCCTGCAGCACTGACACTAGGCGGTACCACCGCTTGGGAGACTATGTCTGGACGGTACCACCGCCTAACAGTCTCAAAGACTGAGTTTGGGCGTACCACCACCCAAACCAGCCCGCTTGACACAGTCTCGGAGATTGTGACACTGATGGTTCCATCTGTTGGGTTACTATTTAAGCATTTCACTTGGCCCAACACAGCCCAAACTTAAGCCCAATTGACCTCTAATTGAGTTAGCCTAATTCCAACCCAATAACGCCTAAAACATACTTCAATCTAGACAATTATTACAAAGACAATCAAATATTATCCGGCATGTCATTGGTCCATCAACGCCTCGTCTGATTTTTCAACGCATCATCCTCTCTTGCAGCTTATTGCCCAATCGGCTAGTTGATCTCTATAACTCTGATTTCCTTGGTGCAATTTCTGCTCTTCTTGGCCCAATGCCTGATCTTATAGCCCAAGGCCTTCTGTCGATACGTCGACCGATCCTCAAGCTCGACGTTCAACCTTCTAACATATTCCACTCCGGCCCAACATGATTCTTCCTACTTTAATTGTCTCTCCCTGATCGAAGCTTCCTATGTCACTCAAAACGTAGATCAGATAAATACTATCAATTGATTCATCATCAAAATTTGAGATTCAACACTATTATCATATTTACATTTATGTTTATGTATATTATAGTTGAATGTAATAATAAGATTATTTTAACAAGATAAATTACAAGGTTATTATGGACTACAATAGAAAATACTAATAATATTATAATATATAAAATAAAGTATGACATTGATGACATACAATTGCTATGACTCACATTAGTAGTTAGACTTAATATAATATTATTATGCTTTTTTGACTTATTAGCTTGTTTTATAATATTATAGATTTGATTCGATTCTGATAACGGTTATCAATCAGGAAATCTAATTATAGTATGATTCTTAGTAGATGATATTGGGAGAGACTATCCTAATTATTTATCCTAGATTCTTTACTCTTGTGTATAAATAGAAGACCTTGATGGGAAGGACTCTCCTAATTACTTATACTCTTTCTCCCCCACATATAAATAGATATGACCTCCTATGGACTTAGAGCAGATGTGCCGATACATGATATTATTGAGATATTATAAATCTTCTATCATCTTCCTTTAGTCACGTGATTCATTAATTAAGAAATAATAGATATTCTCACACCTCCCCTTGTACCTAATTTATCGCTCATAACGGTCTTGTGAAGGATAAAAAGAGAGAAAAAGGCAAATATACTTTTCCTTGCAGATCGACATCACTATGACTTTCGGATCCAATAATGATGCCCCTACAAATCAAATAGAGATTTTCCGGATGACATCGAAAGATATGCATCATAAATTTAATATGTTATTATTTAATTTTAATTTTAACATTAAAATTTTTCATATAACAGAATGTATTATATTTTTTAATGCTTACAACTTAAAATTCAATCAAGTACAATGAGGATATATGCAGGTTTTACCCATCCTGTGCTATTCGTTCTCTACGTTCTTCTCTTCTGATGTGAAAGAAGATCACAGTAGCGGTGACATGATTAATACGGCGATCAACGAGATGCTTACTTGGTTAATTTCTCTCATAAAATTGTTGTGGCTTTGTTTATTTTCATTCTACGAGGGCCATAAGAGACGCAAATCCTGTGAGAAACATACTGTTACTCTTAATCAAAGTTGGTGATTTGCGCTTCAATACTGGCTTTTTCTGGTTTGTGTCCATCTGTTGTTGAAATTTCAAGTTGGTACTCAGACCCGTTTAGAGTGACACTTTTTAAGATAACCCACCTATTATCAAAATTAAAGACAAAAACATTATCTCTCAATCATTCTCTTTTGTTTCTTTGATGAAATATCTCAATCACTTTTCGTGCACTGAACAATGTTTTGCAATAGCCCTTGCAGTGCCTCTTTTATATGTATCTTAGTGCCTCTTATATATACAAGTGCAAGGACCTGGATTGGACTGGACTTGAACCCCATGTTTGTCACTTGTCTTTCTGAGAGAGAGAGAGAGAGAGAGAGAGAGAGAGAGAGAGAGAGGAGGGAGGA